ATTGCAAATTTAGCATGGCCCATACCACCTAAATGTCTCATGGATTATATGTCACAGGCATAACCAAATAACTAATACTGTATTGAATTAATTTGTAGTACTATATGAAATATAATTCATGTGACATTTAATTTGTGTGGGTTATATATCGCAATGAAACGTCAGATCAATAACTGTTAAACAAATTTATTTATATTTATGTAAATTAATGCATTTGAGGCTTCTATTATCATTTGTGATGACTTTTCAACTTGCATTTTTTGCAATTGCTGCAATCATGGCTTACTGGCACAATACTTTACTATATTTAGATGAGATTGTCAGGTTGTCAGAAAATAAAGGAAATTTCTAATAAGGAAAATTCTATAACGTAATTTATTAGTGTTTGAGAGTAAAAACTTGTATAGTAACTGTATTTAATGATCAGTTACTATTATACTTAACATTCATATATTATAAAAAAGTTTACTAAAATGTATCACAGGTATTGAACATCACAGTTACTATTATGCTCAGAATAATCAAACAAAAACTTGTCTCAATCAATGATCTTTAATCACCATACATATCTATATCTAGCATAACAAGCTCATACAGTGAGTTCCCAAAATTCTGGGTCAGATTGCAAGGTTTACTAAATCGTACATCTGAAAGTGATGAATATTTGAGCGAAGAAGACTTAAATATATCTACGCAGGTATATATTTAAAAATCATTTTGAATTTTAATTTTTTTTTTTTTAAAAAAAAATTAACAATAAAACAAAATTTTTTTAGGACTTAAATAAACAAGAATTTGAGGAAATTTTTATACTGCATGGAAGGTTTTAAATAAGAATTGAAAGTGGGCATTTACTATTACTAACAATCAAGAAAATAAGTGATTACATAACAGCAAGAATGTAACAATTATTAAAAAATATTATAATAACTGCAAATTTAATAATTAGGTACATTAAATAAATTTAAATTGTATTGAAATGCTGTTGATATCTTTATTACAAAGTAATTGAAAGTTCTTCATATTACAAGAATTTTTAAAATATATGAAAGTTTTTCACAAACCAAGAGTTGAAAAAATCCTGCTCTAAAATGTTCACGCGTCCAGGTGATCAAAGTTCGAAAAAAAAAATTTTTTTACTCAAAAAGTGTTTTTCGCGCAACTGCAATTATGGGAATTTGAAAAAAAAATCTTACCCTAAAAAGTGTTCTTTGCATAACCACTATCATGAGAATATGAAAACAAAATCTTGCTCCAAAATGTTCACGCATTCAGACTACCCTAAAATATTCGCGCATCCAGATGATCAGAATTTGAAAAAAATTTGCTTCAATCACTGAATTATAAGAATTTGAAAAAAAAACCTTCTGCCTTAAAATGCACTTCACACAACCAGAAATTATTAGAATTTTAAAAAAAATCTTGTCTTGCCTTAAAACATTCGCGCATCCAGACGATCATAAGGATTTAAAAAAAAACCTTAGTCTAAAATGTTTTTGCGCAACCAAAACAATTAATATATATATATAATATCTAGTAAAGTACTTTGTACAACTAGATATTTTGATTAATACACAATAAATTTATATAAAGCTTATATTGTAAATTGTAAATATCACTAAAATTTATACTTTTAAATGACTACTAACAGTTTGTAAATGCAAAATTCATCTAATAGTAAATAAATTTTATTGTTGAGAACATAAATAAATTTCTGAGAACATTAAATTAAATAAATTTGTTCTCATGAGAACATAATTCTCAAAACAGATTTCCAACACTGGCTAACACAAAGGGGAAAGAACCTATTGCCATTGAAGTTGTAATTGATGTTAAAATAAGTTGCCTGATTGGCTAGTGTAAATCAACTGACTAGGTAACTGTTTTATAAAGGGGGATAACTACCGACACAGCAACACGTGACTTATCACCTTATCGACACAGCAATGATCACCCAAATTTTCATTTAAGATACTTAAATTTTTATAACTTCGAGCAAAGATAACTCGGTAACCACCCATTAAAATTTGATAAACTTTTTTCTATTTTGAAACCACAGAATTTGTAGAATAAAGCAAAAAAAAAAAATTCATAGAATTTGGTTAGGTAGATAATGAGTTATTTTTTACTGAAAATTTAAACCACCTATCAAAATATATGTAAAAATTTTTTCAAAACTTTGAGCGAAAATAACTCGGCAACCATCTAATAAAATTCGATGAATTTTTATTTTATTTTTATCATATATTTCTGTAGAATCAAGATAAAAAAATTCATCAAACTTAGCTAGGTGGCTGCCGAGTTATCTTTGCTCAAAGATATACAAAAATTTTGCCACAGCTATTACAGTATTTTTTAAATTTTTGTAAAACTTGAGGTCGTTTAGCACTGACTTTCTTTGGTAATTTTAGTGTATCTTCGTATTTTCCATGGGTTTTATGATGAAATGCAATATTATATCTGGCCCCAATAAGGAATTTAGGATTATTTTTTGCAATCTCTCAATAAATTTCTAATAGACTCTTATCTGAATATCTATTTTTAAAATTTTTTACTTTCTGTTGAAATCCTTCTTGAGATTGATTATAGTTCTTCTATAAATAAAATAATTTGTTGAATTTAATAATGATTGGTTATTTGGTTATCAAGATTTCTTTGTTTAAATTTTTAGAAGAAATTTGCATTTCTATTTTAATAGGCATTTTGATTTGTTTCAAAACTTTGAGTAAAGATATGTCGACAGCCACCTGACAAAATTTGATGAAATTTTTTTTTTTATTCAAATTCTATGAATCTATAGAATTCAAATAAAAAAATTTTCATCGAGTTTGGTCAGGTAGTTGTTGAGATATATTTGCTCAAAGATTTAGAAGAAAATTGGCGCAGTTTCTATTTTTGACAGCTATTTCAATAGACGTGTTGATTTGGTTTAAAACAAATATCGATAACCACCTGATCAAATTCGATGAATATTTTTTATTTGAATTCTATGAATCTATAGAATTCAAATAAAAAAAATTTTATTGAATTTGGTCAGGTGGTTGTTAAGATATCTTTGCTCAAATTTTCCAGGCAAACTTACTTGGAAATGATTTACGGATCAAGGGATAATGCTGGCCAAACCTTTAATAGTAGATCATTTGATATACAATACCCTGCTGTGGCCAATAAGAATTGCATGCTACGTTGCACGACGATAGATTTCTCACTTCTCTTTCAATGGATTTCTACAGCACAAATTCGGTTGAAAATTGGACTAGCAACAGAATATTTGAACACTATCAAACGAAGCTAAAGGGTAATCGAACGAAACTCTTAGATAGTATAAAAAAAGACCTCCAAAAGGTTGTGGTTTCTCCCAATTTCGATAATGCACGCAGAAATAAAGCCCAAGAAATAATTGATCGATGGAAGGTAAAAGTAATTAGTACTGTACTTTTAAAGTAAAGAATTTTTAGTAGGATGAATTTAATTATTCAAGAGCTTAGTCCAACAGTTATGAACTCTTAGTTCGACACTTAAGTGCAAGCTAGGTCTCTTAGACACTGTTATGAACTCTTAGTTCGACACTTTGTGCAAGCTGGGACTCTTAGTCTAAAGGATAGCTACCTACAAATAATTATAATTAATAATAATTTTATAATTTGTAAGTATTAATAATTTTAATTCAGCATTTTATTTATAAGGACTGGTCAACTATATCAGGTACATTTGATACACCAGAGAAGAATTTGAAACGTCCTAGGATAACCAAAAAGATAAATGTAAGCTATGCATTGGCTTTACTCTGACAATTTAACAAGAAAAAAAGATTTTATTAAAATCTAGCTATTAGGTAAAGAAAGTTAAGAACCTGGCAACGGGCAGCAAAACACAGATTAATGAAATACATCACGTAACGCTTGTGCAAGATTATATTCATAACAATGAAATGGATAGTACTGCTAATTTGCAATCAGAAGAATCACCACTCAAAGCCTCAATACAAACTCCTCGAGATATGAGCCCGTTGATGACAACACCTAACAAACGACCTCTGGAAAAAGAGGTCCAGCAGTAAGTTTTCCATTTTTCATGTATTACTTAACTAATACAAAGCGTTTGTAATTGACTTGCTGTGCAATTTTCAAGATACTCCGAAGATATATCTGTAGTATGTGCTTATGGTAAACCGGCCTCTGAACTGGCTTTAGAAATAGGTGATGAGTGTGCTATTGAGCTGTCTTCTGATCATGATATCATCCCTTCTGTGTGGACACCTGGTTTGGAAGAATATCTGGATAGTGTCCTTAAAGAGACCGGAAATAATTTTAAAACTAGGCTTTATGTCAAGAAACCAGACGAGCTATTCCAATTATATTGCGAAAAAATTCTTGTCGATTTGTAAGTAAATAGTATTAATTTTGTATCAAGATAAATCGTTAATAATTGTTCTTTTTTAGTTATCATCTTGTAGATATTCATCATAAAATAGACCGAAAAATCGGGGAACGTAAATTTATAATATATCAAATATCATCAATATTTAAATTTTATGAAACGACGTTTTTTACGCTTGAATTTGACTGGATTGAAAGCCATTCGCATTCTTCCAAAATAACGAAATCTGAAACCAATTCAGGAATAGTAAAAGTTGATGCTAAAGCAATTCGAAATTCAGATGGGTTGGAAATATGGCATATGGAGGTGGCAGGTGGCCCATCTGATGCAACCGATAAACAAACTCTAGGAGATACGAAAAAAACAATCAGAACTGATATTTTGAACTTAATTGAAGTTTTACGAAACCACATTGATTGTAATGTGCAACACGCAACAAAAATAAAAGTATTTTGTACTCTGGTTGTTGGTGAGTAATGTACGTGATTTCATCATAGAATTTTTTGATATTTATCTTTCTGATTATATAGGCACAAGAATGACCCTATACTCTTTAAGCATGTTACCTGATGGAAGATTTCTTTCAGTAGAACTTGCTACCGCACCAATTCCTTTTAGCTTTCATGGTCGACATCAGTATAAGGCTATTCTTCGAATGATGGCTATCTTTCATGTATGTAGGGATGGCAAGTTATTTAAAAAAATTTTTTTTTTTGTTTTAAACCAATTATCAAGTGACTTGATGTGTTAATGAGAATTATCATACCTAAGAAATAAAAAATGTCTTAAAACATTAAAAAAAAAAAAAAATTTAAAAAACATTTTTTTTTACCATCCCTACATGTTTGCATACGTATTATTATAAATTTTATATTTTTATTTTCAAAAAGTACTTTATTCCGTAGGATGAAATAGTGAAGCAGGAAGAGTTAATGGGAGAAATCAATAGATCTGTAATTCGATCAGAAAAGACAGTTCGTGATGTATTAAAAATACCTGAGGGAATTTTTGAAAAATATTAGATTTTACATTGATATTTTTAATAAACACGTGATGGCAAAGGAAATTTATTAGAACATCTTAATAAAAAATTTCTTCCGTAGTTTTGGCATAGACTTACAAAATAATATCGGTCAATCTAGGCCGAATGATCTGGCACAGATTTCCTACGTGCGAGACTTATTCTTAAATTGAAAAAAAATCTAGTATTCTAAGATTCTCATATTTGCGTATGAATTTTCCTATTATACTATAAATTCACAATAATGTCCTATTCATTTTTGATATTTGTACAGTAGCACTGTATTTTTAAATTCTACTAACTAGTAAAATTTGAAAACAAGTCTTCATTTTGTTTAAGGTTGAGAAATATATTGTAAAGTCATTCAGCTGGTAATGCTATCATTTTGATTGAATTAAATGTCATGTTTAATGTAAATATCAACCGGAAAGAAATTTTTTTCACACTTCCTTTAGAATGGTTAATGCTACACAAAATTTCATGAATTTGCTTTAACATATTATGCTCGGATGGCTTCTAATCACAATTAATACGACAACTATCAATTATATAGACAAAAGACCTAAAAATTTGATATTATATTACTGATATATTACTGATATCTTTGCTTCATTTTACAAAATGAAATGTTGCTGATATCTATTCTTAAACATATGGGCTGCTGTCAATTAAAAGTCTGCTACATTGAGCCTAATTGGATCTGTCAAAACGTGAGCCGGGCGTTCCTAAAATTCAGTAGAGTAAGGCCTGAAAGACTTTCACTTCGTTCACTAAGTTCCATCCAATCGTGTAAATGATTCTTGAAACAAGGACAATTTGAACAGAATATTCTTGAGCATTTCCAAGTGATTAATTTATTTGAACAAAAGACCTTTAACAGTTGTTAATAAAAAATTTTCTTTGTCTCTCGCGTTACGTGTATCTCTTATGGTTAAAGTGGTTACTTGACTAACTATTATATCTATTTATTTAAATTTGAGGCTCAAAATAGTTGTGGCCTATATTTTTGGGCAGATGTCGCCCGTCGCGAAGATGACATAAGCAACGACAATGGTTAGTTTATTTTAAGTGTTAAAAATATTATATAATTATATATTCTGACTTAAATTAATATCAAATAGTTCAAAATTTAATGAATTTTGCATCTGGAAGATTAAAATCAATCTACGTGATCTTTCTAGCCGGCAATTTTGTTCTGTGACCCTGAAATATTAACGTACGTAAATATATACGTAGTGAATTGTAAAAATTCGTATTGGGATTATTGGGATACAGTTTACCTATAGTTGTTAGACGAACCAAATTATGATAATCATCACCTGTCATAAAATACCAAGACCTAAAAATTTAATCTAGTTTTTATTAAATAATGTTATGTGAAATTTAGCATCACATGGTTTCGTCTATCAACTAAGATATACCCTTTCTTTCTTTCTAGACGAGTATCTTGACAATATCACATGACTTAACGGACCCACAGTTCGTAAGACCTTATGACACGTTGATTAATTTCTGCGAAATTAATAAAATTTTTTATTTTAATTATACAAATCTATGGTCTTTTAACGGTTAATAAAAATATAATAAATTCTACCACTAAATGCGCATGATGCTTAAAATAAATTGTAATATATTACATATCTTGCCTCAAATATACATCAACAAAGTATGTTGAGTAGGTACTTATAGTTTTTAGACGAAACCATGTGATGATAATCATCACCCGGCCTAAAAATTTAATCTAATTTTTATTAACGTTAAATTTTGATGTGACATTTAGCATCACTAGCAACTTATGGGGTACTCATATATTTCGAGACTAAATTATGATTTGGAACAGGGTATTTTAAGTTGCAAATGTTAAATTTTTTGCGCTATTTACATAACAAAGTGATTTTATTTAATGAAGCTTAAAAAAAATTTATACAAATTCAATCCTTTGCAAAAAGTATCTTCTATGTAATAATAATAACAAATTGTCACCTGTGTTTTAGCATGATATAATTTGCACAAAATAGAGCATAAACGCTCTCAAGAAATAATATGTATATAAGACCTCGAAATTTAATAAAGTTGGACAAGTTTCACATCCATTTTCAAATATAATACTATATATTAATTTGCATGTATAGAAAGCTTTTTTTCAAAGTGTTGTTTATCTTGAAGTAACTAAAAAAATTTCTAATTCTCTATTCTCATAACAATTAATAAATCATTGATAATATAATTATCCTCATTTGTAGAATGATGGAAGTATATGCCTGTTTTATTTCAAGAAATAAAAATGCTAATAAGCAATAATGCAAATAAGTTTACAAAAAAAGATAAATGCTTCAGTGAGGACATGGTCCAGAACATAAACATGGGCCTTCACAGTTATTCATAGAATCATAAGATTGCGATACACACGAGCATGCCGGGCAAGAACCAAACTCAAAAACTGTAGAAACATATTGAGAAAAACTATCACTACAAATACAATTATTAAGAAGGAAATTACAGTTACAGATATTGCAATTCCCAGATGGTTGCGGTGGTGGAGACGATGACTGCCAACTAATCTTATTACCAGGGGGACCAAGTTTTCCAACTCCATCTGAAGACAATGCACTTTCAAGAGATGCTTGGTCTCCAGAGCGAATAAAATTGCCAAGTTCAGTTTGTTCTTCTTCACCAACCTTTATTCCGTTGATATAGAGCCTGGTCTGAGGAAATGTAGTATGAAAAACATTGACAGTAATCTGACGATTGCAACAAACATTTATACTAAGATTAGTATAAATAAATGGTGTGTCCATATGTAAAAAGGTTTGTTGAACATGTCGTGTATAGTGAGATAAATGACTAGACCTATTATTATCAATATGTAAACAAGTATTGTGACTGTTTGTGGACCACGACATCCCGTTAATTGTTGGGTTCATCATGTAAATATCAGATAGTTCATAAGTAGGTTTACAGGTTGGAAAAAGCGCAATTTTCACCAGAAGATTCTGAAAATCATTGGGTATTTTAGTATATCCATAGAGATTGCGCGTATTGTCGACAATTTTATCCAGTTTTTTAGTTGGGTTGCTTTTATCAAAGTAATCAGGATTATGAGGGCTATAGTTGACAAGATGGCCGCTTGTATCACAACTAACACTAAAACTGGGAATATGAATATATGTCCTGTACTCTTGCGTTTTAGTCCATCTATTCAAGTATTCGCCATTGGTATTCATTTCTAAGAATGTTTCTGGTGGATCCAAATTTGCTGATATTCTTAACGCAAGACATAGTATATTTGAACATGGGTCATTTTTATCAATTCCTGCAAAATTTAAAATATTGAGATTAGTCCTAAAAATATTGTTACATGGAATCTCTTTTATTTTTTTTAACTGTTGCACACAATTTTCCAACCCTCCCTTGAAGTAAGATATAGTAAGGACATCCGGTGTTTTAAATGTTGTGCCTTGCAATAATGCTTCATTAATAAAAAAGGTGGCCAAAATAAAGAAAACAACTCTGTTAAGCATGATTGCTTTCTGCCAATCCAAATAAACTGGTTTAATCATTTAGGAGATAAGATATTTGTACCAAATTTGCAAGGTTGAAAAAAGATAAGATTCTTTAAAGCAGTTAAACATATTATATTTAAAATGATATGTAAAAAGTTTAGCTTATATATTGTGTAAAAATTAACCATCCGGTTAAAAGACTGTATATTTGTTATAAATTTTATTAATGATGCATAATGAAATCCAAATTAGAATTCTACAAAATTTTTTAAGATTATTGAAATAACATTATTTGCAAAGTATTATTAGTATTAATCTTAGATTCAATTTTTGCAAGTTATTTTGTAATTATTGTATGAAGCAAAAGGGACTTTAAAATAACCATCCGGACCAAGACCAGGGACGTGTGGATTTTGTGATTTGCTGTGATCGAAGCAAATCACAAAAAATACCATATAATTCTGAAATTAAGCACATTAAATTTTATGTAATATCTGAAAATAAGCACCCCCTTATGTATAATAGTATCTGATTTTTTTACTAAGTAAGCCTACTTTCTGTTTTTAAATAAAGTTTATTCTCCAGGTCAAGACGATTCTAATTGCAGTAAAATTACCAAAATTGGTTCAGTAGAACTCTCATAATTGCTCTTCAAAGTTCGGGTGACTTTTGTTTACTAGTATACAGATCATGTAAACAAACGTCACCCAAATTTTAAAAAGCAATTGTGAGAGTTCTACTAAACCAAATTTGATGATTATACTGCCGTTAGAATCGTCTTGATCTGGGGAATAGTTTTACTTATAAATAGAAGGTAAGTTTACTTAGTACTAAAATCCTATATTATTTATTCTTAAAATTATATCAAAAAATAAGCACCTCTTATATCAAAAAAAGGGTGCTTAATTTCGGAACTATACGGTATGTGGTTTATTGCAATTTGCTGTGATTTGATGCGATTTGCTGTGATATATTTTTCGAATATTAAATTAGTTATGATATATTTTTTGAGCATATTAAATTATATTTTTTGAGAATATTAAATTAGTTTTGATATATTTTTTGAGAATATTAAATTAGTTATAAAAGAAGTTTTCGAATTATGGTGAAATTTTAGTAGATGGTAGACAGAATTTGAATAAAGAATCGTTAAAAATGTTGAATATTTTATACTTTAACAGTTCAAATAAATGAAGTTTTATAGCTTAACGATACGAACAAATCAAGTTATAAACTAATTGCATGTAAAAAATTAATTTAAATTTTTAGTGAAAATAATAGTAATTTTCTGCCGAGTTTTAATAGATTATTTGAGAATTTTCAAGATTTCATATAATTCTCGAATCGTGACAGTCAATTCAAATATTATGTTATATATATCCCTAAGCATACACGTACTTACATGAAACATTCAATAGTGTTTAGTTCAAATAGTTAAAGATTATACATTACTATATTTTCCTGGCTAACCATGTAACTTGTTTTAGCATTCTTCAGTGCACTGAAATCATTAACCTGTGAACACGAATTTAATAAATAATATTTAATTTACAGGATTAAAATTTTTTTATTTTGAATATTGGAATAGTTCTTCAAAAAATGTAATTTGATGTAAAATAATGGCTGCAATAATGAATTACACATACAAAGCATCTAAAATTTCTACAAAAAAAAAAATTAATCACCATCTCTTCTCAATCTCTTCATATGCATCAAACACTTTTTGAATTGTTTTCAGCTATTTTGATAACCTACTTGTTTTTTCACTTATCTTTAAACTTGGAAAATATTCTAAAAGCCCTTTCTTTATGAATAGGAACACAATAAAACCAATGCCTCCCTTCAACAAAAACACACCACTCTACAAACAACATTATTGAATTTTCTAATCAGGTTCTTAATATAAGTTGTGTCACTGTGGAAAGCCTCATATACAATGTGGGTAAGAAGTCTTATTTTTTGATATGCAATATGTATGATGGTAGGATCTGATCAGTTGATTTAGCAAAGAATATGGTACTTTGTTTCAAAATAAATAAAAATTTAAGGATTGTGATCATTAGTTAATGAAATCCATTCATTGATGAGACGGCAATTTATTTTATAAACTAAATTGTAATAAAGATAATGAATTTTATTATTTTCGCATGATTTTATAGTTCATTCTATACTTACTACTAATTACGCACAGGAGATCCAATGGTAGTTGCATGCAAAGGTGATTTATTTGCATTATCTTTAGATTTCTTTTTAAAAGAATTCCTAAGATTTTGCAAATTCACTATTATACCGTTCTAATAATTTTAAAGAAAGTATCAAAATATATTACAAGCTTCTATATAATAATTATATTAATATTTTTAATTCAAAATTTATGTTTTTCTTTAACAATTTCTGACAATACTTTTTTTAGAATGAGATATAGTCGATTGCAATCATTGTCTTCTGTTTGCAAACCATATAATCTTCACATCTCATGCAAAACTCTGCTTATGGTAATATTTTTTGATGGTTCAGTTTTTAAAAATTTATACAGAGAATACCATATAGTTCTGAAATTAAGCACCCTTTTTTGATATAAGAGGTGCTTATTTTTGGATATAATTTTAAGAATAAGTAATATAGGATTTTAGTACTAAGTAAACTTATCTTCTATTTCTAAGTAAAACTATTCCCTAGGTCAAGACGATTCTAACGGCAGTATAATCATCAAAATTGGTTTAGTAGAACTCTCACAATTGCTCTTTAAAATTCAGACGACATTTGTTTACATTTATATTACATGATCTGTATACTCGTAAACAAAAGTCAGCCAAAATTTGAAGAGCAATTGTAAGAGTTCTACTAAACCAATTTTGATGATCTTACTGCCATTAGAATCATCTTGACCTTGAGAATAACTTTACTTAGAAACAAAAAGTAGGCTTACTTGGTAAAAAAATTAGATACGGTTATATATAGAGGGTGCTTATTTTCAGATATTATATAAAACTTGATGGTGCTTAATTTCGGGGGGTGTTTAACTTCAGAACTATACAGTAAAAGTTTCCAGTTTCTTCAGATATTAGCATTAAGTGAGGATGTGAAGATAACGATAACGATAATTTCTCAGTTTCACAAAACCCGCATGTTTTATTAGCTAATCATTTTTTAATGATTTACGTATCAATATCGATATCACTTGGCAAAACTAAAAATTTCAAAATCCCACCCCAATCCCAAATTCTATCCCAAATATAATAAAATTCGTCCCAAATCCCAATAGTTTTGTCAGCAAGTATCTAGCTATCTAACCCATATAAAGTATATAGCAATAGTATGAAAATAAAATAAAATAAAAATTCTCCAAGATTTCGGTTAGCCAGAGGCATTTTTATATACTGTATATATCTAGATGTCGCTAAACTAGAGTGGTATGTATTAACCATAATCATAATAATAATCATCATATTAAAAAAATATAATATATCATTTAATAAATATTTATAATTATGTTATTATCATCGTCATAGTTTGATGATATAGTTAAATGAATTGAGAAAGCAAATGAATATTTTTGATAATTATAATACGTCGAATGTGAATAATGATATACCATTTTTGCTATTGAATTATATATTTTTTAATATGATGAAAACTTAAAGAACAATCTAGCACTAGTAGTAATTCATAATTGAATACCTCAGAACCTTTAATTTGATTCTCTAAGTGAAGAGAGATTGAACTTCGAGAGCCTTTTTAATTTGATGATTTTAATAATAGCCTTATTAGATATGGCAATCTAGTGTAGTGGTTAGGTTGTCACCCTCACCAAGTGGCAGGTCAAGAGTTCAAAACCCACCATTGACAGAAAATTCGAATAATTACCTGTGTTATGGCAACTGTCCTTCATCGATCAGTTAGGATAGGATACCTGTAACTATGGTCGCACCAGCATGACTGGCAGGTCTGGGGCATCCGTGCAACCTTGGGGTTACATGGAGGAATACAAACCGGCATCGGGCGGCGCAAACACTAGATAAGTCCCCAGGTCGTGTAAATCTGTAGAACTGGGAGGACCGAAGCCCATTTGGGAAGTCCCGAGTAGAGAGGTAGCACAGATCTTCGACGGTACTACTGTAAAGGCTAGACCCGGGAAAAGGAAACCGAAGTAGAAGAACCAGACAGGGCACGATCGGTTTGTGGTAAAGCCGATACACCAACCAGGCCGCCGGGTTAACCGGAGAAAAAGGTCATGGCAGAGCCGATGAACCAGGGACAGGTCATAGTCCTTCCGGGCCATCTGGATTGGGAGTCTGGAACCAAAGCGGAGGGGAACCGAAGTACTGGGGATATGCTGTGAA